CACTCCAGGAGCTCATCTCTTCAGGTGGAGTCACTAGAGTATTTTCAACTGAAATCATCGTTCCTTACTAGACACACACACGCACACACACTTTTGTTGAACTCTACTCACAACTAATGCAGATAGCCACTGTTCCTTTGCATGTGCCAGGCATTAAATTATTTAATTCTCACTCTACCCCTAGAGGGAATGTACCATTTTTGCCCCACCCAGCAAGTACAAAAACTGATCCTCAGAGGGAGAATGGGACCCGTCTGAGGGCCAGTGAGGCTTGGAGACCTGTGTGTGACCATGACCGGCTCCTAGCCATCGCCCACCCTGCCTCACACTCAACTAGAAGCAAGCAGGACCAAGTAAAGTGCTAATTATTATCAGTGCCCCCTTTAGTTGCAAATAGAGGTACAAGAAAGCTCCCTATTTGCAAAGTCACAAAAGTTTCCAAGAAACAAAGCTGTTCTTTCAAAGAGAAAACATATACTAGCTTATGTTCTTTTGTATTATAGCTATTGCGAAACTGGCAAAATTGTGGAAAGTGGGATGCTACTACGTACATTATATGACTTAAGTTTTCCCATTAGCAAGTGTAATACTGGATGTTGGTGCATTGTGTTTGTGTGAATGGGGGCTTCTACCTCCCTGAAAGTGAAAGCGTCATTATAATGTGTTCCATATTTATTAGCCATCTGCCGCTACAGCATTAAAGGGGGGAAATCATACAGTAAGCAATATATTCGCAATTAGTTTTATCACCTGATATGCAAAATAACATCACTTGGTAAGCACATATTATTATGCTGAGTCATTTCTATTTTCAGTTTAATTCATAACATGTTTTAAAGACCACAAAAGTGAATGTTTGCCTAGCATCAGGTTCTGTTCTCCTATTTTGGTTGAAAAGAATAATCACCAGCATCTGGGGGTAATCAGCACAGGTCGCTCATCAGCACAGGTTCCTCAGAACTGCTCCACAGTTGCTGTTTCTAGAAACCTCATTACGGGTCACAGATGCGGCAACTGCACATTATCCAAACTGACGAGGTCGGACGGGGAAAGGTGGATTTGCACGAGACCCCCAGGTATTTCTGGGCAGAGGCTCCTCCGCAGGGACGCAGCTGCTGTGCTTCCCTAACAGGAATTCAATTGCTGTGCAAGCTGAGACTGTTTATCTCGCTTGGCAAAATACCGGCAGCAGGTATCAGCTGGGGGATCTTTCAAAAGCTACTGATCCCAAAATAGCAATTAAATAAGGACTGCAGCAGAAAATCACAGCCAGAGCGTGGCGCTCTGCACATCTGGGCCAGCAGAAAAGAAGGCTCAGTGAGACAGTGGCCTGTCTGGGCCCTCGAGCAACAGGAGAGGTGGCTTCCGAGTTAGAGCTGGTCTCTCTCGGGCCTTGTTCTCACCGTGAAGAAGAACTTGAGTTTATTTCCTTATTTCCTGTCTGATCCCTGCCTCAACGACCTGGCCCACAATGCTTCCTGGTTTTCTGCTGCTGCTGCGTAACAGACGCTCCAAACTGAAGCAGCCTAAGACTATGACCACAAACTCACAGACTCTGAAGATGCTTCCCTACACTTCTAGAGGCCAGGAATTGAATCCAGACCTTGTGCTTGCCAGGCAGGTGCTGTGCTGCTGAGCTACATCCCAGCCCTGACGGCTGCTTCTCCTGTGGACCAGGTGCCCATGCCAGGGAGACACGAGGGCTGGGATCTGGCTGGGATTACTGCCTAGAAGAGCCAAGTGTGGCCTCTCCATCCAGCCCAGGCTGCTGCCAGCACAGCACCTGGGTCCCATAGGACGCAGCCAAGACAAGAATGAGCCAAGGTGAAGACAGAGAGGCTTTTTTAAAGTGGTATCAGGAGTCACACAGCTTTTCTTTCTCTGCTTTCTGTGGGTCACCGTTGAGACCACCCTAGGTTCAAGGAGGCTGTGTGACAAGCTCACCTGGCAGAAGAGTGTGCAGGATGGGAGGCACTGTTGTTAGGAGCTCAGGGGGGAAAATTCAGACATGGCAAGAATGTGGTGGTCTCCACTCCAGACTCCTGCCAGGTTCTACTGAAGACAAATGTTAAGAGAGAAACAGAGGAAACCAGAAGACATATTTAGAAAAATGCCTTCATTCAACCAGCAAACTAGGTACCATGTGTCATGGCCATGCAAATCCTGTGTGATACAGTCTTTTTCCTCCTACAGGCTCACTTGGACTCCATGGCCCTTTGCAGCTACACTGGGCTTTAGGTTTTTCTTACTTGCCCTTGGATTTCTCTACCCCAGGACCTTTGCATCTGCCTTGCATCTGCCATTTGACTTGTTAATACCCTCCAGATCTCAGTTTCCACATCATTTCTTTGTGGAAATTTTCCTGACCTCCCTGATTGGGTCAAACTTCCAGAAAGGATAGTCATAGCACTAAGTACCTTATCATGTGTATTACGTTTTAATATTTATTATCTTCTCGTCTTGACTGTAAATTCCACAAGATCAATAGCTGATTCTAATTAACCATTGTCAATCCCCCAGGCACACACACATACCCACAGAATTCCCAGCCCAGAGAAGGGGTTTAAATAAATATTTGTTGGATCAGATTCACATAGTTTTGAGCACCTCATATACACCAACCACAGAGTCGGGCATAGAACACAGCACTGATGGGTTAACCTCACTTGTGCCACCTTGGAAATCACATCTTAAACTGGAAGCAGATTGAGACAGGAGATTGGGGTGTAGCGAAGCTGCCTGGGGAAGAGGCATGACCTTTTAATGACAATATCCCAGACCACCTGCTCAAAATAGTCCCCAAATCCCTGCATGGGATTTCTCCCCAGATCTCGAGCAGGTTTTCCACAGGATGGCCCAGATCTGATGTCAGCCTGAGGACGTAGTGAGTATCCGCCACTGTGTCCTTTCTTGCGTGGACAGCCCACTCTCAGGCTTTATTTCCTACTTTACTTGGCCCCAACTTGCCGCACAAGCCTTGCTGCATACCGACCCCTAATAAAGCTCTGCTGCCACCTATGCTGGTCTTGACAGATTCTTTGCTCAGGACAGACAGAACCTAGAGACCACCAGAAGGAGACTCCAGTGCCCCCAAATCTGATAACAAAACAGTAAACAGGTAAAGCTGTGGGTTGCATGTGTTGCAGAAAGGCCTGGGTGGGGGGACCTAACCCACCCTGGGAGTCAGGGGAGCCTCCCTGAGGAACCGAGATTCCACCTGGCACTCCTCCCACCCTCAGGGCCACACACAAAGGCACACAGCTCCATTTCTTCTGTGCATTTAAGAGCAAATCATTATTCCTTAAGGGAGCAATTCATCCTTCCGTATTGCCAGATAAATCAGTACAAACCAAGGAAAGAGAACTGTAAATGTATTTCTGGGTGAGAATAGAACATTCGTTATTTCCTTGTGTGCTAATTAAGTTGTATTAACAAAGAGCATTTTGACACTGTTAAAGGCAGTGGCCCTCTGCTGAAAAGGAAAGACACCTCTCCGGGGAAATCGCAGTCCGAGCTGAAAAGCCGCCCTGGAGAAACACCTTGCTGCAGAAATGCCTGCAAGAATACTGTTTCCTCAGATGCCTGGAAGCGCCAGCTCTGGGATACCAGAAATGGGTAAGTGGCTGTGCCCTCTTTTAAGCAACTGGTTTGCTGGGCTATTTCTCTGCCTGTCCACCCAGCAGGGACACAAGAGTGGTTGCTTTGATTCTGGAGTCACCTGACTGACCCCAAAGACCATGAAGCAGGCAGGGAATTCTTTAAGACCACCTCTTGTATCAAGAGCTTATATGGAGGCATCGTACCCACACAGGAACCCGATTTTACATCATAGCAATGCCCTAAGGTTTTGGGGGGAGGTTAGGAGAGCTTTTATTGCAAATAAGGAGAGTAGCTGCTGGATCTCCAAGGGGCTGTTCCAAGCCACATGGCCCTCAATCTGGAGCTAATTACAGATAAGCAAAGCACAGGACTTGTTCAGCTGTTTTGTGGCCACCTCTCACCGGTGGCTCTGTGAATTTAAAATGACCAGTTGGAACTCAGGCTTCTAACCCAGTTCTTCAACAGTAGGGTCTCAAGGAAGCTGTGGCTGTGAGGGGAAAACTGGTTATTTTGCATTTTAATTTCCTCAACTTTCAGGAGTTTAGTAGCGGCCTTCAGGAGTGGCTGCATCCCGGGTCGCTTGAGGAAGTTCGCTCTTGGTCCAAAGTCCTAGTTTAGTGTCTGTTATTTTAATTCTTGTGGATGTGACCAGTTGCCCAGTTCTTATCTCAGGCCCTTCCCTGAGCTAGGTGTCTTTGTCATGAGTAACCACATAAACTGTTTTCCACATTTCCCCCTGTGAAGAAATATTCCAAACTGCCGTTGGGGAAAAAGAGGTGAAGACAACTGGCTGCTTTGAGCTGAGAAGGGTCAGTGTAGGGAGACAGCAGACCAGGATTTTCCTCAGAAAGTTACTCCAAAGGCCTTTGATAGATGTCATGTTGGGGGCCTGGGGTGATGGACTATCTTCAGAGAATTGATCTGGGGAGCCCAACACATTTATCATGGGTTCCATCTACTTAAGAACTATAATGAAAAGAGAGGGGGCTGAGGAAGGTAAGGAACTCAGTCTAGACCCCTAAGTGATTTTTATGGGCTTTTGGTAGATGAGGAAACTGTTAGATCTTCTGGCACAATAAAGGAGCAAAATATAAGAAAAAATAAAAGTGACCTTTTATTTAAAGGACGTGGAGAGGAGCCCACAACCAGCAAGGGTTTGGCTTTCTCCTCTGCCTAAATATGGGGATGTGGGTACCAAATGTGGTACTTGGGGCGGGCACTGATGGTGTAAGGGGCTGATTGGAATTTTCCTAACATGCACTGGGAAAGGAAAGAAGAAGTTGTAATTGGGGAGGAAGGAGGAAGTGGCCATCAGGGTAAACATCCCTGGTTTCGCCTTCCACCATGTTGAACTACCACCATAATGCCCTGTAATTTATTCTAGGGCATTTCATCCCCATCTTTTTATTGTTGGGAAAAGGGCAAAGTCTCTCTCTTACTACTTCCTGCTGAAAGGGGGGGCGCTGTGTTGGGATTTAGGAAGGCTGACGGGATGACAATTGATGCCCATGTAGAAGAAGGTAGTACTAGGTGTTTTTCAGCCAGGACAGCTTTATTGTTGGTGAATGCTCACATCCTAGAATGGAGAAATAAAAAGACAAGGTGCTATGAGGAGGCAGGCCACTATCATATTTAAAAGACCCAGGAGAGGTAGAAGGAAAGGTGCCTTGATCCAATTGTGTCATTCCATCAGGGCCATGGTGAGGAAGAATCTGAAAAGTAAGCGTGGAGTTGGGAGGGATGAAATTATGAGAGGTAATTATTCCCCCATCTGAAAGGGTAAAAGTAGAAGTGTAGGTAGGACTTGTCCTTAGACCAGGAGTTGAGCTGGAGAGAATAAGGAGCATGAGAAATACAAGGCCTGACAGTTGAATCATGTTTGGGAAATTATAGAGTAGGGATGGGAGAGCCATGGCTGTGTCACTATAAGGGAGGTGAGAGCCTAGAGGGTTTTCATGTTCAACTAAACAGCTGAGGGTACGAGAACTAAGATAGTTGTTATGTAGAACAGCATGAAGACAATTTTACGTATGATGTGAGAGTCTTTGGGAAGACTGCCTAGAGTCCTACAACAACAACAAAAAAATAATAATTAATAGAATATAAGGGATCAGGAACCAAATAAGATAACAAAACATGACCTAGCCTGAAAATTGTGGCTGTGGGGCCTTGGTGAGATGGAGATGGGAGATAGGAGATGAGATGACCACTCAGGATGTTTAGAGTCAGGGGAGTTAGGGTTAAGAGGGTACCACTAGTGATACCTAGTTTGAGTGATGTGGAACCAGGATGGCAGTCCAGCGACTCCATCCTGAGTTCTGAGGAAGACCGGGTAGGGGCCACTCCATTTTAGCTGTAGTCCTGTGGAGAGATCTGAGAAATAAAGGCTGGACCATTATCTGACTGGATACTCTGAAGTAGACCAAACCTTGGAATAATTTCTTGTAACAGGACTTTAGTAACTATATCAGCAGTCTCCCGGGTTGTGGGAAAGGCTTCTATCCACCCTGAAAAAGTACATACAAAGGTAAGAAGATATTTGAAAGTTCTGTGATGGGGCATGTGTGTAAAATCTACCTGCCAGTCCTGACCAGGGGTGTGTCCATGAAATTGATGAGTAGGAAAGGAAGGGGTGGTATTTGTCCCTGAGGAGAGGTTCTAATATAGAGATGACAGGTGTGAGTTGTTGAGATCTGAGAGTTCTGGGTCAGTTTTCATAAACACAAGGGAATCCTGACAATCAGGGCGGGGAGTAAAAAAGGCATTGTTAAGGTCTAGGACTGTGAAGTGAGTGGTGGAGGGAGGGATATGAGAGAACATAGTATAATGGTTTGGCACCATTGGGTGAATTGGGGTAACAGCATCATTGGCTACCCTAAGGTCTTATATCAGATGATAGGACTCATTAGGCTTGAGTATCAGGAGAATGGGAATATTGTAGGGTGAATGGGTAGGTTTAAGAAAACCATTGTCTAAAAGACACTTGATTATAGGTTTAAGTCTCCATAATGTTTGGGATCTATAGGATACTGGGGAACATAAGGAGAAATTAAGTATCCCTAAGATGAATTAAAAGGTGGGCTATGAATTAATAGCATGGGTAATGCAGGTGGGGTTGGAGGTATCCCAAATTATGGGATAAACTGAGAAGAAGGGAGAGGAGAAGATGCCTTTGTGGTGCACTGTGAGGGTGATTGGAGGACAAGAGCTGTGGGAAGGGAGAAGGTAAAGAAGTTAAGCTTTTGGAGAAGATCCTACCTAAAAGGCATATGGGACATGTTAAAATTACCAGAAAGCTATGAGTGAAGAAAAGAGTTTGGAACATGAGGCAATGGGCCCTGTTTGTAGAGGTTGTGTAGGTTGGCTGTCAACACCCACAATGGAGATTGAGGACTTCATATAATGGCCTGAAAACCCAGGAAGAACATTATACATGGGCTCTGTGTCTACAAGTACAGAGAAAGACTTACCTGAGACTTCCAGTGAGACTCGGGGCTCTGAGGACACCTTAATGGGGGCTGTGGGCACCAGGCTTCATCAATCTTCAGCAGCAAGTCCAAGTAGATCAGCCATGATGAATCCAGGGGTGACGAGATCCTCTGTGAGGGCAAGGAGTTAGAAGATGGCCTGCCCACTCTCTAGTGGCTGGAACAGTCACACTTCCAATGGTCCTTGAGTTTGCAGAAGGGGCATTCTCTTGTCCAGTGTCCTTTTTGTTGTACCTGAAGCATGGTCTGAGAGGGGCTTGGGCAACTCCACCATGTCTCAGTTTACCTGTCTCAGAGCTCCAAATGCTAAAAGATCAGGTTATTTTCTCCTTTTGATATTTGTCTCTGTTGTTAAAAACATGAAAAGCCACATTAAGAAGATCTCCCTGTGGGGTTTGAGGGCCAAGTTTAGCCTTTTGTCTTGTGATCTGGCCCACAGTGGGAAGTATCTGTCCCCTCCATGATCACAAGACATCTGGTCCTCTAAGCTGGCTCCTTTGAGGCCCTAGCCATGTCTGACTACCTATAATATTTTTAACTGACTTAGATGCCTGTAGCATTTTTCCTCTGAAGGTGTAATCCAAACTGCCATGAGTGGTAATAGATGATGATCGATCCGGCTTCTTCAGGCTGAAGGGAGTTGAAGTTGTTGAATCGAAGTCAGGGATATTCTGTAGAGCTTTTAACTAGTGGCCTTCAATACATAGCAGGCATTTTCATCTTGGCTTTAAGTCTAGAGGAGACAAAGGCAAAGAATCAAGTATGCAGGAGCCAAGTAATAGAATCAACAGTATATTATGAGTATAATTTTAGTAATGGCTTCCCATAAGGAGGAAAAGGATAAGGTCCAGGGAATTCTAGAAACTGACATGTCATTCATTTGTCATACACACATTTAGGCTTTACAATTTTATAAGTACCTTCAATGCTGTTAGAATGTCTACTGCCATCTGATTTTGGAGGATGACCTGTTCTATTAACCTTACCTTTTTTATTTAGGAGCAATATCAGCTATAGTGTCAGTTAAGGCCAGTTGAATATAGTTAATTATGGCCACAATATGCATCATGTAACCTTTTTCTGGAAAAGATCTGGTAGATCCCAGTAAAAGGAATCTAAAGGGAATTTAGTATATTTGTTGTTGTTTTTATCTGTTTCATACCTTGGGGTTTGGCCCCTTTTAGACAAGAATAAACTTTAATCAAAGCATGTATAACCAAAGCAGGTATAACCAAAGTATATATAATCAAAGCATGAACAGTAGGGCTGACAGTTAAGATTAGAAACTGCTTTTAGATTATAGAAGTTATATCTCATGGACTCTTAGATCTTTTTGTTGATGCAAATTATATAAATTTTTATTTTAAAATTATCATTTGATACACCATGACCAAATGGGATTCATTTCAGGCATGCAGGGATGGTTCAACATACATAAATCAATAAATGTAATCCACCATATCAATAAAGCCAAAAGTAAGAATCACATGATCATTTCTATAGATGCAGAAAAAGCTTTCAATAAGGTCCAACATTCATTCATGATAAGAACTTTACAGAAAATTGGAATAGATGGTCTTTATCTCAATATAATAAAGGCTATCTATGACAAACCAACAGCCAGTATCATATTAAATGGCCAAAAATTGAAAGCCTTTACTTTAAAATCAGGCACAAGACAAGGATGTCCTTTATCACCACTCCTATTTAATATAGTACTGGAAATACTAGCCAGAGCAATTAGACAAGAGAAAGAAATAAAAGGGGTAAAGATAGGAAAAGAAGAAGTTAAATTATCATTGTTTGCAGATGACATGATACTTATATAGAAGACCCCCTAAACTCCATTGAAAGACTCTTAGATATAATAAAGAAATTCAGTAATGTAGCTGGATACAAAATCAATACTCAAAAATCAATAGCATTCCTATACATTAACAACAAAATCACAGAGAGAGAAATAAGAGAAGCCACACCCTTCACACTAGCAACCAAAAAAATGAAATATTTAGGAATTACTCTTACAAAAAAAGTGAAAGACCTATACAGGGAAAATTCTAATACACTGAAAAAGGAAATTGAAGATGATCTCAGGAAATGGAAAGACATCCCTTGCTCATGGATAGGAAGAATAAATATTATGAAAATGGCCTTTCTCCCAAAACTCTTATACAGATTCAGTGCACTCCCAATAAAATACCATCAACATACCTCATAGATCTAGAGAAATCACTGCTAAAATTCATCTGGAGCGAGAAGAGAACTAGAATAGCAAAGATAGTTCTAAGCAACAAAGTCAAGGCAGGAAGCATCACAATCCCTGACTTGAAGTTATACTACAAAGCAACCATAATAAAATCAGCATGGTACTGGAATCAAAACACAGCCAAAGATCAATGGAATAGATTAGAAGATACAACTACAAACACACTCAACCACCTTATCTTTGATAAAGGAGCCAAACAGGTTCACTGGAAGAGCGATAGTCTCTTTAAAAATGGTGCTGGAAAAACTGGCTCTCCATATGCAGAAAACTAAAACTAGACCCATGCCTATCACCATATACTAAATTAAAATCTAAATGGGTCAAAGATCTGAATATTAAAACAGAAACACTAAATCTCTTGGAAGACAAATTGGGTAGAAACCTTGAACACATAGGGGTAGGTAGAGAATTCATGAACAGGACTCAAACTGCATAGGAAATACTTCACAGAATCAATAACTGGGACCACCTCTTATTAAAAAGTTTCTGCATGTCAAAAGAAATCTCCAGGATAGTAAAAAGAAAACCCACAAACTGGGAAAAAATCTTAGCGAACTCTCCCTCAGACAAAGGACTTCTGTCTAAAACATATAAAGACTCACAAATTTCAAAGATCCAACCCAAAAATGGGCATCTGAGATGAATACACAGTTCTCAGATGAAGAAATACAAATGGCAAATAAATACATGAAAAAATGTTCATCATCATTAGTCATTAGAGAAATGGAAATTAAAACCACACTGAAATTCCATCTTACTCCTGAAAGAATGGCCAGGATCAAGAAAACCATCAACAAATGCTGGAGAGGCTGTGGGGAAAAAGGAACTCTCCTGCACTGTTGGTGGGAGTGTAAACTGGTGCAACCATTGTGGAGGTCAGTCTGGAGATTTCTCAAAAAGCTGGAATTGGAAGTCCCATTTGACCCAACTATTCCACTTCTAGGCATATTCCCAGAAGAACTGAAAGCATCATACCACAGTGATATATGTGCACCTATGTTTATAGCAGCACAATTTGTAATCGCCAGATCTTGAAACAACCCAAATGTCCATCAACTGAGGAATGGATTAAAAAGTTGTGGTATTTTTATACAATAGAGTACTACTCAGCTGTAAAGAAGCATCACATTGGATGCAGCTTGAGGCCATACTCATAAGTGAAATAAATCAAACTCACATGCATGAATACTGAATAGTTTCCCTATTGTAAGAAATGATTCAAATATATAAAAGTATGTGGTAATCATGATTCCACATTATGTGGCTTTGAAGCCTTATAGTTTTCACTCATTAATTGGAATGGCTTTATTCTGGGCTGTTTGATATTATTGCCTGTGATTGTATGAACAGCTATTTTGAAGAAAACAAGACATTGTAATAGCTAGTGCTGATTTAATATCATCTTGTTTTGAAGTCCCACCAATTGTTCTTGTCTTCTGTTCTTCTGTCTTCATTGGTTTTATCATGTTGTACCTTGCTGGATTTTATTATATGTGATAGTATAAACAAAAATTTTTATAGGCAAAGAGATAATATAGAAACCATTGTTCTTCTTCCATTAGCTGGTTCTAAATACCCTGTAATATTTTCATCTTCTTGAATGGTTTCACACTGTCTTGATATGTTTGATGCTATAGTATATGAAGTTATACTCAAATATTTCAAGGAACGAGACACTATGGTAACTACTATTTAGTTGGGTTATCTTGTGGTGAAGCACTAGGTTGTTGAAACTGTCATGCTTTGACCTGTATTTTTATGTTGTTATGTTCTGTTTTATCTCAATCTCCCCCTTTTTCATAAAAAGATTTCTTTATTTTATTATTTTTTTAATTAATGGAAAAAATAAAAAAAATTAGCAGTATATATTATAGTAACTTTTTTGATTTCCTATTAACTTGATTTGAAGCCCTGTATTACTCCCACTATCTTGTTTTGACTGATTTTACTCTGTTCCATTCTGTTTGATAGTATCAAGTTTGAGGGTATAGGCAACTACTTTGAAGGCAATAAGATTCACTATGATGCCCATTTTGGTTTGACTATCATCTTCTTTTGAAGTCCTGTAATGTTTCCAATGTTTATTGGTCCTGTTCTGTACTGTTTTGTTCAATTTTATTATACCTAATGATATAGGCAATTCTTTTTAAGGAAGCAAGAGGCATTATGGTAACCATTGTTGATAATCTTGTATTCTGTTTTTACATCATGTGCTATGTCTATCCTTTGTTTTGACTGACAGCTTTGTTTTGTCATATTTGGTTTTATTCTCTTCAAAAAAAAGTAATGGGAACTATGGGAGTAATAAAACCCAAAATGTGTAAATGCTGTTGAAAAAAGAGAGGAAAAAAAAGTGCTCTGAAGGATACAACTGCAGGTGTGTTTAGGTGTGTTAGGATGGATGATCATATTGCTGAGTTTTTGTTGGATCATTGAACACAACTGTTTGCAGTCTCACTGTTTGAATGTCTACTTTGTAGGCTTTAATCCTATAACTTGAGCAACTGTTTCTAAGATGACAATATGTAATCTATTAACTAGTGATTTCTTACCGTTTTTTTGAAATTCTGTATTACTTGTACCCTTATACTGGTTTTTTTCCTTTAAATTAAAAATAATAATAACAATAATTTTTTTAAAAAATCATTTGACTGATGGCCTCATGTTGATTTGACTTGAATCTCTTGGGTGGAGCACAAAAAAAGGCAGGTGTCTGGATCCAAAAGAAAATATGTATCATCATAAACAATCCCAGTTTTATATTTGAAGATGTGAATATACCTAAGATCAGCAACAATGAATTGTCTTAGCCATGTGAACTTTAGTTGGGGTGTTTCCTATAAGGCTATGGAGATTATTGGGGCCTCCAGTTAATGAATAAGAGCTGGTTAAAGTTACCAGATGGCCACTTTCTTATTCATCAGTTGAAGTCCTGTCCAGTGTCTCCTCACCCCAAGGAATTTTGTTTAACCAGTTTTAGCATCATTTTGATCAGCTGGCAACCTAGGTGGAAGCATGCTTTTTAAATCTATAACCCAAATAAACCTTGGTTAAATGATCTGAAAATGCAAAAGAAAAGGGATAAAAAGATTGTTGAGCTCAAATAAAAAAGGAACAGCTATTTACAGAGCAAATGGACAAATATAGACAAATGATCTGTACAGTAAAAGCAGACTGGACAAACAGACAACAGATATATACACTGACAAACATAAAATCAGAGTGGACTCAAATCTATTTGGCCAATTTGAACTATAATAAATAGACTAGTATAAACCTTTTTGTAGATTAATTGAGATCTCTTGAAATAAGAATAGCAGAAAAGGAACCTAATTTCTGGTTACTCTGAGATAGGTTAGTGAGGGGAAAAAAGAACATGAATATGTACTAGTCCCTCAGGACCAGCCTGTTTCTGTAGGGGGAGTAGGGACTGAGACTGAAAAGGCTTTGGAGTAGGAGGTGTAGATGGCCACTGTGCAGCCATCCTCCCAGCAGGTGTTTGTGGGCAGTTACTGGGTGATCAACCACAAGATAAGGACTCATCACCACGTGACAGGGAAGCACAAGATGGCGACTGGTTACCATGAGACACGCAACAAGATAGCTGCTGCCAGTTACATGGTGAGGGAACACCAAATGGTGTCTGACCATCATGTGACCTACAACAAGATGGCTGCTGCTGATCCCATGATGAGGGACTACTAAGATGGTGGCTATTTACCCTGTGACTTGTACAAGAGGGTGGCGCTCTGTCACAAGGCAGAGGGCCACAAGATGGCAGCTGCTCTCCTTGTGAGCTGCAGCAAAATGACTGCTGAAGACCATTTGGTATGAGATCACAAGATGGTGGTCAAATATCATGTGACCTGTCAGGTGGCTGAAATGCATGAGATCAAGTATGGTGAGCTGGCAGGGAAAATGGTGACACAGGAGTCGGGGACAAAGAAGAGCCATCCAGTAGAATAGATGGCTCAGGTGGAGGGGATGGAGAACTCTGAGACTGAGGAAAGAAACTAAGGGAAGGATCAGAGGCCACTGGGAGTGAGGAAGGAGGAGAGGACAATGCAGGGGGCATGGAAACCTCTGACTGAGAAAGCTGTGGGTTTGGTCTTGAAGACATGGGGGAGGAGCCATAAAGACAGGAGAAGCATCACCTACGGGGTCCAGTGGGAAGAGAGGGAGAGTCCCTGGTGGGGCAGAGTGAGCCAGAAGTATTTGGGCCATCATACAAGACAGAGTGAGGAAAGAACACATCCTCAAAGTGAGAAAGGCCTAAAAATGAGAGGTTTCTGCCAACTTTCCACCATTGTGACAAAAGTATAAATAAAAGACCAGCTTTTTGGGTTTTTATGGCCTTCTCGAGGCCAAGAACACCAAGGTTGTGAACCAGGCACCCCAGAGGTGTGTTTTTTGGGGGACAGGAAATGGTCCCCATGACCGATTATAAGTGATCTGAGAGAACAACTTCACCTCAAGATGTAAGAGCTTTAGCTTCCCCCCAAGGAACATGGAAGCTGTCCTGGGTCACCCCTATCAAAAGGTCGTCACCTGTTTTGGAAGTGTGACACAAAAGGTCCCAACCCATTCTCATTGGCTGTCACCAAACAGTATGGGACAGGGTCCCAGAGAACAAGCGGTAACAGTTTTGCCTTGGGCTGTGCTGCCCAAGGAACATAAAAACTGCTACCTCTGTCCAGGGACGGCAATGGATAGGTTTTCTGATGCAAGCTTGCAAATTTTAGGAACAGAAACAGAAAACCTCAGACAGCAGCTCACCTGTGATGAGTGAGGAGGGCCGGTGTTGCATGCAGATTGCGGAGGCAAATAAACAGGCCCTGGAGGAAGGAAGGTGGTTCGTGGGCAGGGAGCTCTACTGGGAGTGACTCCCAGGAGCTAGCGCTCTGCCATCCGAGTCTCAGGGAACCAAATGGTTAGTTTTCTGGCAATAAAGGAGCAGAGTGTAAAAAAAAAAAAAGTAAAAGTGGCCTTTTATTTAAAGGGCATGGAGAGGAGCCCACAGCCAGCAAGGATTTGGCTTTCTCCTCTGCCCGGATATGTGGGTATGGGGTATATGTGACCTCTGACCGGATGTGGTGCTTGGGGCGGGCATTGATGATGCACAAGGACCTGATTGGAATTTTCCTTATAAGCACTGGGAAAGGAAGGAGGCAATTGTGATGGGGAAGGAGGAGGAAGTGGCTGTCAGGGTAAGCATCCCAATTTGGCCTTCTACCATGTTGAACTACCATCATAATGTCCCGTAATTTATTCTAGGGCAAAACTTTTTCAGAAACTGAGTGTTGGAGAATTTAAGCTACTTTACTTATTCCTCTATTTAGTTCAACAAACAGACTTTAAAGGCCTCCTTTTCATCAGGCCCTTTCTGAGTGATACCATGAGGCAGACCTGACAGATAGCTTCTAGGCACTTTCACGTAACAAGTAAAGGATTGCAAGCATACATCCCACGGTAAAAGAAAAGAAGTTACATTTATGGAAGATGATGGAACACATACTCAGGACAGGGCCCTGCCAGCAGAAGCAAGAATGTGGCATGAACCCAAAAGTGGTATCAGAATAACAGGAAAATAAAAAGCACACACACATAGCAGGCTTTCAGATTTTAAAATGTGCATGGCACTCTAGGTACCTCTCACTGGGTTCTGGGCTAAAATTGACAGGAATGACTGACAGGCTGCTGCTGGGTCTCTTCAGGGACTTTCAACTCACATGGCTGTCCCAGAACCCACCCTAGTTAAATACAGTACACAAGACGCAGTTCTTAGGTATGAACCTCCAAGGAGGTTCAAGTGGGGAAAATGCTACTGAAGATCTGGCCCGGAGCTTTGTTATTTTTGTTTTTGCTTCTCTTGGAACAGAGATGGTAAAACTTTTTAGAGATGAGTGTCCAGACTACAACCCCAAATACGTTCAGGTGGGATGAAGGGGTGTGGTCTCCAGCCCTGACTGTGCTACCTGTAGCAGGTACGTGCGCTCCGAAACCCCACAGCCAACAAGATATCTCCGAACCCAGAACACTTGCAGTCCACAGGAGAATCTGTATGAAGTCTGCTTGGAGAGAATAAAACAGGACCAGGTCAGAGAGGAACTGGCAGGGACTGGAAGTCCAGCAGAGAGGGCAGTGTGGTCAAGAATATCCCCTTCCAGGAGTTTCTGACCAGATTTGAATGCTGAGGAGGGAGCAGCTCGAGGAGGAAAAATAATTGGCATGAAGGCCTAAACATGGCTGTCCTTGGCCAGGCTGATTTCTCGGGGACAGTGAGAGATCGCTACTGAGACGTGGATCCAACCAGTTCTGTCTGACTCTGGACCCTCAGGTCTTAACCACTGTGCTTTCCAGCCCCTTGCTGGAAATAACAGGGGAAGAGAAGAGCCAAGCAGAAGGAAAGATCTGTATCTGGAAAGATACAGTTATCAAACCCGGAATATAAGGAAGTCATTTTGAAAGCTGGATGGAAACAGATTCCTCAACCCCAACCAGGTAAAATGATTTCACCAGACAGAGCCAAAGAACCTGAAGGATTGTACTGAAAACTCCAGGTAGCCTCACAGGCAACTATTTATGATCACGAGACACTATAAGTTTCACTGACTCACTTAAATAACATTATAAAGCAGCTACTCTGTGCCCAGCGGTGCAGCTGGTAACATGCATTCTGCTCCCACCTGCAGGGAGATGACTGTACTTACCATCTAGACTAACCAGAATTCTACTACTCGGAGCACAACTTTGTCTCTCTAACTCAAGATAAAGGGCCTAGCATAATAAGCTTGCATCAAGGGAAGAATCTTTTTAAATTTAGCTTTCTTTTTTTAAGATCCACGTTTTCCATGCTGTCTTCTCACTGAGAAACTAAAACAGATCTGAACCTCATGATCTCAGAGTCCTCTCTTGCCTGGCAGTGAGCCCTGGAGCTTGCTTTCCCGGGGAGAAGAAGCCAGTTTTCAAAGACGTTATAATTTTCCTTAGCATACTGAGACTAGGTCAACCAGGCTAGTGTCCTGCACTACCAGGAAAGGGACAACTGGGGATGTGGCAGGAAAGAAGTGGAGTCTAGGCAACAGAGGGAGGACAAAGGGAATAGTCAGAGGCCAGGAGGTCTCCACCTAAGGCAATGTCTCAGAGAGGTCGGCGGTGCCCCCGGCTCCAGAGGCTGGACCCCGTCATGTTCCCAGCTCTGATATGCCCCAATCCCAGTGCCCCACATGGCCCAGGATGGACATGAGATGCAGACTGGCCAGCCCAAGAAGGTCAAAAGCCCAGTTTTTACACTGGACCATTTCTATCATGAAAGAGATGGTATTTTTTCCTTAACTGGGATAGGAGGAACCTCTTCTGGCAATGGATTTACCTTCGCTGCACATGATGATTCTGCCAAAATTCCTATCTGCAGACTTACAGAATTCCTTACACCTAGTATTCCACACGGCACTGCTTCTGATCAAAGAGTTCACTTAACAGTCCAAAAAGTATAGCGAGGGGCCCACGGTGATGGAATTCACTGATCTTACCTTATTCCCCACCACCCTGAAGAAGCTGGCTTGATACAACAGTGGAATGGCCTTTGAAAGCAGTCACAGCACCAGCTAAGTGGCTACACCTTTTGAGGCTGAGGCATGGTTCTCCAGAACTGTGTATGCAGAAAATCAGCATCAAAAATATGGTACTGTTTCTTCCCTAGCTACGGGTATCGTCTGGAAAACAAAATGTGGAAACGGGATTGGTACACCTCACCATTCCCTCTACAGGTCCTCTAGCAAAACTTCTGCTTCTGTTCCTATGACCTTATTATGTCCTGCTGGCTAAGAAGTCCTCATTCCAGAAGGCATGCTGTCATCAGAAGACACACAATGAACCCACTCAACTTGAGCCATGGGGCTCCTCATGCCTCTGAAGAAACAAGCTAAGAAGGGTGACTGATTCAGACCCCAAAGGAGAAACTGAACTACCACTCCACACAGCTGTATCTGGACTGCAAGGGAACATGTAGAAGAACATCTCCTAGTTTTATCATGTCCTGTGGTTAAAGAAATTGAAAAACTGAACAGCTCCATCCAGGCAGGACCACAAAAGCCTGGGTCCTTCAGTGGTGAAGGTTGGGGTTACCATGACCAGCTGAGAAGCTTGCTAAAGGCAAAGGAAATATAAATAGGTTGTAAAGAAGGTCATTATCAATACCACCTTCAACTGACCTCGTGACCAGTTACAGAAATAAAGAGTAATTGTTAGGATTCTTTATCCTTGTTTTGTAATGAATATATATGAATTTTATATATATGTTAGCATCTGCAATATTCTTGTTTTATTTCCTCTCATCCTCTTATGGTGTAATATAGGATGTAGTGACTTTATATGAGTATTTAAGTATTGTCACTTCCTCCTCATGGCTTTAAGTTCTGAGGTATCATTAGAAGAGTGAATACCTTCAAGGGCTCAACTTGCTGCTTGGGAAAGAACGGGTTCTTCTTTGTGCACAGGACAGTTAGTTGTATCATATCACACAGATACAGGACCTTGTTACAGTCTTCATTTGGAGTTTAGTTGTGGATTAAGGAGATGTGTGTGCATACCAAGCTGACGATGGGTAGGCTTGGGATGCTTAACTTAGATGCCAATATGACTGAGGAAAGAGATACCCAGATAGTCAGGCAAACATCTGTGGGTTTGTCGACATGGGCAGGATCGTCACCCAGTCCACTGAGGGCCTGGACCAATAAAAAGGCAGAGAAAGCAGGAATTTGCTCTCTCTCTTCTGGACCTGGGACCCCCAATTGTCCTTATCCTCTGACATCAGAACTTCACAGTCTTGGGCCTGAACTCAGGGTTTCACACTTGTGAGGACCTCTTCAGGTTCTCAGACGTTCAGCTATAGGCTGATGGTCATACCCTTGGCTCCCTTGCCTTTTAAGCTTTAGATTCAGGCTGCATTGTAAGACTGGCTTCCTCAGATCTCCACCTCACAGGTGGCATATTTGAAGCTTCTTAGCCTATGTAATTACATGATCCAATTGCCACAGTAAATGTCCTCTTATATATCTACATATGTCCCATTGGTTCTGTTTCTTTGAGAGCTGTGACTAGTATTCTGTGTCAATGAAAATTACAGACGTTTTCCTTTAATAGTACAGTTAATTGCCAATATCCCAATTTATCACTGTTACCATCCCCTTAAAATGCTTTTGGTTATTAAACCGTCAACCTGACCTAGCTATTCAATGTATTAATAAAGAAGCATATGCACTATTATATCTCAAAGTCTGGTTTTTAAAACTATTTTGACACCTATTTCAGTCTAATTGGTTTCCCTCACAATCCTATGTATTTTATTTTATACATGTAGAAACTTTCTTCTGAGACGGGCCCAGTGGGTTTCTCAACTACCAAAGCCAGCCATGCACAAAAAAAAAAAAAAAAAAAGCTCAGAGCCTTTCTTCACTGGCTTACACCCTGAGATCCACCCAACGCCTAACCAATGCTCCACACCCATTTCCCCACCCAGTGCAAGGGCAACTGTGGTTCAAGAACAAGGACTGAAGGAAGACCTGAGGGAAAGCACCCCAGCTCCCTTCTGATCCTGCCTGTCCCTTGCTTGAAGACCCCTCTCTCAAACCACAGACAACCAGGAAACTCTAAAGGAGTGCGGGTTACAGTGCCTTGACCTCTTCCACCATCTTTTCATGAGCTGGGCCTTCCTATCACTCCCAAGACGGCATCCAGCTGCGAGGTGGGAAATGGCGTCCCTCTTGGGCCCTGGGGTCTCGAAAGGTCTGAAATTAATGGAGGGTTCACCCTACCTGTGCTTTGTCCTTGGGCAAACCTCCCCCAGTGGAGCCAGACTGATGACTCTGGAGCTGGATGCTTTATGGTGCTGAGGTTGTGTCTTCCTGCTGGGATGATTTGTGCTCTGGTGATTATGCAGCTCGGTATGTCCAGCCTTCACACAACCTGCCCTTTATCACAGCTGCCAGTTTGCCCAGAGCCGTTTGTCCAGACTGCAGCCTCTTGACTCCTAGTGACATGTTCCCCATGAGTCCTCTGGGGAGCCAAAAGAAATAATATGTCACATTGATGGAGTGAGAAAGGTCATACCTTCTCGTGGCAACAAAACATCTGTCCTAAGGAGATGAATGGATGGTCCTTCACCATTTGTAGGCACCAAGCCAGTTGACTTTCTTTCCTTATTGTGTTTGGCCACAGAGGCTGAGAAGGAGAGGCCAGGAGGTCTTAGCCACTCCCACAGGCGTGTGCTGGTAACGCTGGTGGCACAAGCCTCCTGCAGAGTTAGTCACCTCCACAGGGAATCCTTTAGGGGCTTTTAGGGAATCCTTCTGGGGTCATGTGTGGCATTTATATCTGAAGTTGTTAGACTCTGAGGACATAGCCTATTGCTGTGCAGCAAATTACCCCTGAACTCGGTAACCTAGATTGAGGAACCTTCCTACGGTCAGGGGTCGAAGTCCTGCTTGGCTAAGGGCCTCAGCTTAAATTTCTTGCAGGTGGCTTCAAGGTGTCATCTAGAACTGCAGCCTCACCGGAAGGGTCAGGTGAGAAAGGTGCTGCTCCCAAAGTTGCTTGTAGAATTAAGACAGTATTATCTCCTAGAGGGCCATTGTCCCCTCAATGGCCTCTGAGGGTAACTCACAAGGAAGGCAGCTTCTCCCACCAGGGAAGCCAAGCAAGAGGGTCATAAACAGCAAACAAGACAGAAGCCAGAGTCTTTTCACAACTGGATTATGAAAGGTATACCCTTACTTTTGCCATGTTCTATGCCTCAGATACAAGCACCAGGCCCCACCCACAAGGCGGAGGGGTCTCATAGGAGTGTGAATACAGGTTATGTGGACCAGGGGAGTGTCCTGAAACAGCCCACCACCTTGGCTGTGTTTGTGAACCTGTTCACACCTTATGTGTACATTGTATCTCAAACCTTGGGCTTCTATCTGCAAATCTCAAGGACAGTTAACCCTCTGCATCTGTGGGCTCCACAGTTGTAAATTCAACCACCATTGAACTAAAATGTTTTGAAAACTGCATCTATTCTGAACATGGACACACTTTTGTGTTACCCTTGTCCCCAAATACTATAACTCTCTTCAGAGCATTCACGTTATATTAGGTACAAAAAGTAGTATAGAGAATACACAGAGTATACAGGAGGACTGGATAAGTTACATGCAAATACTATACCACCTTATGATACAGGACCCATAAGTTTTGGTGACCACAAGGCATCCTGTGACCGGTCTCCATGGATACTGAGATGAATATCACTGCCCACGCCAGAGGTTCCTAACCCGAGATCCGTGTGCATCAGATTTTAGGGACTTCTTTGCTGGGTACCTGTGGAGGATGCTCCTGAGAAGAGGAGCTATAGTTTTCATTAGATTCCCAAAAGGTCTCAAAACTCCACAAAGATAATTCCCAAAGCATTTGTCATGACACACCTGCATTTTAAAAATACTTTGAGATGGTATCAGAAGACAAATAGAAGAAGCAGCGAGTTGCATAATGGATAGGAGCCAGGAAACAGCTGGCCCACCCCAAGGCCATCTTCCCCAACAGACAGAGAAACTGAGGACGGGAGCAGCGCAGGGAAGGTAATGTGCTGGCTGAGAGAAGAACTGGAGGCTGTGGTGGTTCTGTTCCTGCTGTGCTGCTTTTCATGGCTACATGACCTCACTAAGAAGCAGTGCCACATATTTTAGTGGCTATCCGCAAATGTGGATCTTTGCCAGGAAAACTGGGTAAGTGCTACAACACACTGTCCTGACAGGTAAAATCCATTCGCAACCCCTCCGCCTCCAATCCTGTGTGTCTGTGTGTGTGTGTCTCTCTGTGCTTTTGTGTGTGTGTCTGTGTGTGTATCTGTGTCTCTGTGTCTCTCTGTGTGTGTCTGTGTGTGTATCTGTGTCTCTGTGTCTCTCTGTGTGTGTCTGTGTGTGTGTCTGTGTGTATATCTGTATGTGTGTTTCTCCATATGTGTATGTGTGTGTCTCCATGTGTGTATCTGTGTGTGTATCTGTGCAGCTGTGTGTCTGTGTGTGTGCATCTGCATGTATGTGTGTATCTGTGTATCTGTGTGTGCCTGTGTGCCTGTGTATGTGTCTGTGTGTGTGCGTCTGCATGTGTGTGTGTCTGTGTCTGTGTGTGTGTATCTGTGTGTCTGTGTGTCTCTCTGTATGTGACTCTGTGTGTGTCTCCATGTGTATGTCTGTGTGTATCTGTGTGTCTGTGTGTGTCTATGTGTGCCTGTGTGCCTGTGTATGTGTCTGTGTGTGTGCGTCTGCCTGTGTGTGTGTCTGTGTCTGTGTGTGTGTATCTGTGTGTCTGTGTGCGCCTGTGTGTCTGTGTATGTGTCTGTGTGTGTGTCTGCATGTGTGTGTGTCTGTCTCTGTGTGTGTATATCTGTGTGTCTGTGTGTCTCTCTGTGTGTGACTCTGTGTGTGTCTCCATGTGTATGTCTGTGTGTATCTGTGTGTCTGTGTGTGTCTATGTGTGCCTGTGTGTCTGTGTATGTGTCTGTGTGTGTGTCTGCATGTGTGTGTGTCTGTCTCTGTGTGTGTATATCTGTGTGTCTGTGTGTCTCTCTGTGTGTGACTCTGTGTGTGTCTCCATGTGTATGTCTGTGTGTATCTGTGTGTCTGTGTGTGTCTATGTGTGCCTGTGTGCCTCTGTATGTGTCTGTGTGTGTGCGTCTGCCTGTGTGTGTTTCTGTGTCTGTGTGTGTGTATCTGTGTGTCTGTGTGCGCCTGTGTGTCTGTGTATGTGTCTGTGTGTGTGCGTCTGCCTGTGTGTGTGTCTGTGTCTGTGTGTGTGCGTCTGCATGTGTGTGTGTCTGTCTCTGTGTGTGTATATCTGTGTGTCTGTGTGTCTCTCTGTGTGTGACTCTGTGTGTGTCTCCATGTGTATGTCTGTGTGTATCTGTGTGTGTATATCTGTGTGTCTGTGTGTCTCTCTGTGTGTGACTCTGTGTGTGTCTCCATGTGTATGTCTGTGTGTATCTGTGTGTCTGTGTGTGTCTATGTGTGCCTGTGTGCCTGTGTATGTGTCTGTGTGTGTGCGTCTGCCTGTGTGTGTGTCTGTGTCTGTGTGTGTGTATCTGTGTGTCTGTGTGCGCCTGTGTGTCTGTGTATGTGTCTGTGTGTGTGCGTCTGCCTGTGTGTGTGTCTGTGTCTGTGTGTGTGCGTCTGCCTGTGTGTGTGTCTGTGTCTGTGTGTGTGTGTCTGTGTGTCTGTGTGTGTCTCTGTGTGTGTCTCTGTGTGTGTCTCCATGTGTATGTCTGTGTGTATCTGTGTGCCTGTGTGTCTGTGTGTGTGTCTGTGTCTCTGTGGTGCTGGAGGCTGGGCCCAGGGCCTCGCACTGCTTAAACCAGTGCCCTACTATTATCGGAACCTCTTGGCTCACCAATTAAATGTTCCTGGGTCCTGAGTTACCTTTACTGCTGGGTCCAGCTTCTTCTCATCCCAAAGAATTGAACAAAATGAGTGAAAAGCAGCAGCAAAGTATATTTGAAAAAGTAAAAACAAAGAGCCAGAGAGAGACTGGCTCTCCAGAGTGACCCTGGGCCGAGTCATAGACACAGAAGAGCACCCTGGAGAAAGCAGGGTGTCATGGGGAAAGCCACGGCAGCGGGCTCTTCTTGGCCTCTGTGCCCTTTTATATGGCCCAATCTCAAGGCAACCCACAGGCACCTCTACATACAGGTCCCGGGAGGCGGTGCTGGGACCCCAGGCCTCAGGCTGACTGAAATCGTGTCTAGGCCTTCAACCTGCTCAAGGGCTCTCGAGAAGCCAAGTGCAGGGCTCTGGGAACCATTCTGTGGTGTGTTTCAGGGTCTTTGTACTGACAGCTCCTGCCTACTCCCCTGCCCAGCTACGCCAGGCCCTCATCACCGGTCTCACCATCGCCCTCCATCACAGTCTCTCACCTCTAATTTTTTTCCTTTGATGGATTTTAGAACCCTTGCTCTATACTTGAAGCACAGAGGCAGTCATCCACAGGGCAGAAATGAAATAAGCAGCCACTTAAGAGATCATACAGTTTACAGCACAAGAGGAAATGGGCCGGCGATGATGGTCAGTCTTCATTGCGACACTACTCACGAGGGCAGCCCCTCCAAGCCAGCCACGTGCATGACTGAAATGCCCCAGGCAGAGCATAACCCTCTGCATGCTGAAGACAGGCGAGGTGGGGTCAGTTACCCTCTCTGAGCCCCAGTTTCCTCATAGGAAAGTGAGAAGAATAACAGAGTCCACTCCTGTAGGACAGAGCTGTGGGCATTATCAAACTGGATACCAGACAGGAAGCTGAGGTGCAGTATTAGACAGAGCCCAGCACCTGGCCTGGAAAATCATGTATAACAATCTCCTTTCCCCTCAGAATTTCTAAAGGTTAAGGAGCTTGACCAAGAGAGAGTATAGCTAGTAAAAAGTAAAGAACATGTGGTTTCACTTAATAGGATGTACTTTTAACTACTATCTCATTTGTCTGTCTGTTAGTTTGTTTGTGTGACACAAGCTCTCACCAGCTATGTAGCCTAGGCTGGCCTCAAATTTGTGGTGATCCTCCTGCCTCACCCTCCCAAGTGCTGGAATTACAAGTCTGTGCCACCACAGCACACTCTACTTTTAATTACTATGATGTACAAGAATATTCATTGATAGCCCTGTAGCCCAGAGTCCTATATTTGAGCCATTTCTGATCATACCACTGTACCACCTCCAGCAACTCACTGCCAATATTATAAGCAGCTAAGTTAGATAAAAGTTAATATACAGTCAGAGAGGGACTGAGCTCTCACGGAGGCCAGCGAGAGGTGAAAATGTCAGCACTGTGGCCTAAGACAGCTGAAGAAGGCAAGGCCTTGATGAAAGACTCCTAGGCATAATAAATAAATTCAGTAATGTAGCTGGATACAAAGTCAACACTCAATAGCATTCCTATACACTAACAACAAAATCACTGAGAGAGAAATAAGAGAAGCCACACCCTTCACAACAGCATCCAAAACAGTGAAATACTTAGGAATCAATCTAACAAAGGAAATAAAAGATCTATTCAGGGAAAATTATAATATGCTGAGAAAAGAAATCAAAGAGGACCTCAGAAAATGGAGACATCCCTTGTTCATGGATAGGAAAAACAAACATTGTGAAAATGGCCATTCTCCCAAAATTGTTATACAGATTTAATGCAATCCCAATCAAAATGCCACTAGCATACCTCACAGATCTAGAGAAATAACTCCTAAGATTCATCTGGAACCAGAAGAGACCTAGAATAGCAAAGGCAACTC